TCTGACACCGCACGGGGGCTGCCACTTTGATGCAGCAAGCTGTCCGTCAACACGCACTCCCCGAGGGCTTTGCTGGCATGTGCGTGTGCGGGACCACCATTTTTTTCCGTGGTATTTGGCTGGATTAGAGTGATTACTATTGTACCCTCCTTTTTTTTTTTTTTCCCAGGCTGCCCCTTTCCTGGTCCTCTGGCCAGAGAGAGCAGCCTTTCTTTGGGGCTTTTTCACTCGGTGTACGTTGTGAGCTCCTGCAGCACCAAGTCTAGAATATAATAGGCAAAAGAAGTGCCAGAGGACTCACCTCTGTTATCCCTCAGACCCCGAGGTCCGAGGTCTGTCTTTTCCCACCTATCAGAATCTTCTAATATTTCTTGTATATGTATGTATGTATGTATGTATGTATGTATGTATGTATGTATATATATATATATATATATATATAAAATAAAGTTTTTAGTTTTGCTTGTTGGGAAGAAGAAAGTTTTATACTCCAACTTTCCAGAAGCAGAAGTCAAAGTAATTTTTTAAAAATGTGAATCAAGTAACGTTACTGCTCTGTTTTTCATTTTCCAAGGGCTTCCCAAGTGATTAGAATAAAATCCAAATTTCTTATTGGCCCGTCAGACCCCACATGGCGAGGCCCCTGCTCCACTCTGACACACCACATCCCAACTCTCTCCACCCCTCACATGCCTGAGCCACATTGGCTTCCTTTCTGTTTCTTGAATATGTGGAGCTTTTTCAGAGTCAGACACTATCATGCATAATTGTAAACAAGGACTTTGGTGTCAGATGACCTGTTGTGTGTGGCTGTGTTACTTTGGGTGAGTTGCTTAACCTCTTGTCCCTCTATCTATCTCCTCATGTGTGTAATTTGAGAATAAATATACCACTGACCTCATAGGGCTGCTGAAGGGATTAAATGGGTTGATATATGTAAAGTACTAAATGTGTTCTAAAGTCATCTGAACAATGTCCAGCAGGTGAGAGGCACTGAATAGGTATATTAGCAATGGGGATGGCATCACACCCCTGCCCTTGCAAGGCTATTCCTGTGGCCTGGGATACCCTTTGTGCAAGACTGGCTCATTTTACTCCTCCAAGCCTCAGCTCAAATGCTGTCTCCTGAGAGGGGCCTTTTCTACTTATCTAAAGTAGCATCTCTTCATTTCCTTACAGCCTATCTTACCATGATTGTACTTTCGCAATATCTTGCTAACTTATTACTTATTTACTGTGTATCTCCTTCCATATGGACATAAGCTTAAGCAGGGGAAGCAGCTCCTCATTGTCTCTTATTTCCTGGCCTATCCTCAGAGCCCAAAACAGAGGAGGCACATGGGAGACTCCCCAAAAATATTTATTGGGTGAAAGAATTCAGGGCATTTACAATTACACACTTATCACAAACAATGCTAAAATAGACATTATTGTAGTTAAATTTTGGTCAGTGACTTAAATTTTATTGTCGGATGAACTTCCTGAAGTGGGATTATTGGTTGAAGGGATATGCAAGTAGCTTTTCAGACAGATAGTACTGATTTCTCGTTCCATCAGTGTCGTGTGTGTGCTGGCCTCCTGCACCTTCAACTCGGGGCTTTAGGAGAAAAAATAAAAGCAAGCCTTAAAATATCCTCTCCCTTCTGTGCTTCCAGATTCTAAATAATTTTCTAATATCCTGTTATACCTTGCAGGTAAGGACGCTGAGACCCTGGAATTAAATAGTTTCCCCAAAGTCACACATAGTAAGTGGCAGAGCTGGGCCCCTGGCTCAGGCAGTTTTCTAAATTTTACTCTTAACCATCCAAGTGTACTTTTCTCTCTTTACGCACCTCAGTGATCCTGGGCACCAGGTCATCTGCAAACGGCTCAATCCACTGCCCAGAATACACAGCAAACCTCAAAGAGGTTGGTGCAAAGAGTGGCGTGAGAGGTGGACAGGGGAAGGGCCTGAGGAGGGAGGTACTGACAGGAGGGAGGTAGCCCCTTCTGGGACTCCTCTCAGGAGAGGCAGGACCCACACTGGTGATTCTTTCTGCAGTTTTCAGTTCTAATCCCCCTGCTTTGCTTGCCAACCCTGAGGTCAGCCTTCGGAGCTTTGCCCCGGTGAGCCTGGACTCTTGGTGATTCTGCCCTGTTGGGGTGGTGGGGGTGGGCGGCCAAGCTCTGGGCTTCAGAGATCGTGGCAGTGCTTTTCCTGCTCCTGCAGAGCCTACCTCCGGCCGCCTGCTCCCCAGAGGCTGCGGCCTCCACCGCCCCATGGTCAGAGCCATTGCATCTTCTCCGCTGGTTGTTTCCAAACTGTCTACACCCTGCTCCCTGCTTCCTCCCAAAGGTGCAGTTAGATTGTTCGCCCTGTATTCCTAAGAGCAAGGGCCCTAATTTGATGATGTACAATTATCGCCTGAGGGGCTTCTTAAAAAGGAAATCTCGGCCTGGGAGATTTGAACACTGAGGGATGTTTGATGTTAAGGAATTATTGTTGACTTGCAGGCATGACCATGGTATTATGTGTGTGCGTATAATGTATATGAAAAAATCCTTATCTTTTAGAGATATTGACTGAAAGGTTTGGAAGAAATAATATAATGTTTGGGATTAGCTTCAAAACAGTTTGGGGTGGGGAGGAGAGGTAGGTGGGGGTGCAGATGAGGAATTCAACAATCGTTGCTGCAAGCAGTCTATACTTGGGGGTTCCTTATAAGGTTCTCTGGACTTTGGCAGGTGCTTTAATTTTTTCCATGATAAAAAGTAAAAAAAAAAAAAAAAAGCAGAAAGCATGCCTCATTCTAGGTTTACAGACACCCCAGAGGGTGCATGTAGGGGCTCTGGCCCCCACGTGGAGAACCGCTTATTCACGTGACCTCAGGTAACCCCTGGGCCATGGGAAATGCATCTAATTGGCTCACTCTTCTGCTTTTTACTTCCTCCACCAAATAACTGGGAAGACAGAAATCCTCAGTAAGAAAAGGGTAAATATCACATTTTGCTATCTCTTCACCTGGGCCACATCAGAGGCTGAATTTTGGCTACTGGGTATTTACACGGATTCTTCTATTCTCTTTTGAAAGTGAAATGTTTTTGAAAATAGTTGATTAAATAGTGAGTGTGATTTTTTTCTTTTCCAACGTGGCTTCATTTTTACAACGAAAAGGAGTGCTTGGCGTGCTTAGTAGATTCATTGAAAGGGTGTCTCTGGAGCCTGGTGATGGTCTCTAGAAATCAACCAAATCTGCCACTCCCTGGGGAGTAAGTCACTTTCCAGAGAGAAGAAGGTCACTGCTTCCTGGTGGGGCCCGAAGGTCGTGGCCCACGGCGCAGGTGGTGCGGGGGCTGGGGGTTTGTTTGGGCAGGGCCGGCGGGGCAGGTTTGTCCTCACCTACCAGCAGGCAGGTGTTGATACAACAGAGCCGCCTCCGGGCTCTGCCCCCGCCTGCGGAGGAGACGCAGCCGGGAGGAAGGCCGCCTGAGGAATCCCCCAGCCGGGCTGGACCTGCCTGGCCGACGCCTGCGAGCTCCTACAAGCAGGGCTCCCTGCTCCGGGTGGGGCGACGGGAGCCACCGGAGAGCTGCAGCCCCCGGCAGGTTCCAGATCCCTGCCCAGGACCTGCTCGGTGAAGCCGGGGTAGGAAGGGTCTTTGCACTGTGCTTTCTGCTCTGCGTGAGGCTAACGTCTCGGGTCTCTTTTCTATGAAAACATTGCTGTGTTAATCAGAAAGGGCAGTATGAAAAGTTTTGATTCATCTCAGTGTCAAAAAGGCAAACATAGAAGACAAAACTTTGCATTCATGAAGGAGGGATGTTTAGCCTCTCGGCAGTAGATGGGGAAATATTTTTTGAGCACCAGCTCTGGGTGGAGCTAGACCCGTGACAGAAGGAAAAGCACGACACAGTTCCCTCCTCATGGAGTTTACTGGCCAGTGGGCAACACAGACCTAAGAAGTAATTGCAGATGCTTATATTCTGGGCATAGACGAGGGGCTTGTTCCCTGGGGCTGGTGGTCTGGAAGGAAGGTATCCTTACAGGCTGGAATGAAGAAGTATGTGGGTGCAGGGCATGCAGGGTGGAGAGGAAGAGATTGAGGTTCCAAATCTAGGGGACAACATTGACAAAGGTCCTGGGGCAGGAGGGCCCTGGTAGAAATTCAGTGTGTCTGGAGAACAGCGTGTGGAGAGATGAAGCTGGAGGGAAGGCAGAGGCCAGATTATGCAGCCTTTCGTTGGCCACATCACCGGTTTTAGACTTTATCCTGTGGGGAATTTGGACATTGGAAAAATGAAAACAGAGGTAGGAAAAACCCAGTGTTTGACAAATAGATTTCTATATGTTATAAAATGAAATGAGGAAAAGGGGCCCACTCTGGAGGTGTGATAATTCTTCCAGAAGGTTGGACTTTGGGGAAAACAATTTGGTTTGGCAGCAGTAGAGCGGTCTAGAGGGTTTTTGACGGGAATGGATTCTAGATGAGTATCCTTTTCCAGAGAGAGGACGTACAGATTTATTTCATTCTGCTGACTCACTGTGCGGGGTTCTGCTTAATCCCCTCACCTGCTGATGGATATCTAGGGGAGATTTAGTGTGATCGTTACATACATGGTTATCAGAAATATCCGTGTGCATCTGTTTCCCTATATACCTCCAAGTTTATCTGGATGAATAGCAGTGGAAATCTTGGGTCATGGGTATGAGTAATATAAAATTGGATAAGTATTGACAAATTGCCCTCTGAAAACGCTGTGCAAATTTACATTGCAACTACTAAGTGTGTAAAATGCCTGCTTTCCCTTACCCTCCACAGCCTGACTCTTATTCCTGTTTTTTAATCTTTTGCCAATCTGATAGGTGGGAAGGAGTTCTATCCTGTTTTTATTTTTAAGATCAGGAGTGATTCCTGTTAGGTTTTCTTCCCTGTTGGATTTTAATTCGAGTCAACTAAAAACATTTTTTATCATAAGGTTTCCACACATTTGTTATGTCATATTATCTTTGTCTCCTACAGACCGAGGCTGGGTCAAGATGGCGTCTGTGTTTCGCAGTGAGGAGATGTGTTTGTCACAGTTATTTCTCCAGGTGGAGGCTGCCTATTGCTGTGTGGCTGAGCTTGGAGAGCTTGGATTGGCTCAGTTCAAAGATGTAGGTACTGCATTCTTTGGAGTCCAGAAGAAGGTGGGGTGGGAGTAGACAACTCTTCCGAACCACCTCCTGGGAGTGAGCCTAGTGCAGGGAGAAGAGCAATAGATGGAATTCCGTGGCTGTAGTCCTCCTGGCTAGGGTTTTCGATAACACTGGGCAAATAAATGACTTCAAACACGTTCTCCCTTCCTTGTTCATGTCTCCTCTATAGGCACGTTTTGAAGATGAGCACATGTTAGATGGCATTGCATTTTCTTTCCTATGTAGACTCTTTAGAGAAGTGGGTATATCCAAGGGCAGATTACCCAACCTTGTTCTGAGGACAGAAACCAATTCTTCCTGACTAGTCTGAGGACAAAGTATCCCGGAGTGACTCCAGTGCTAGACTCTCTTGAGTGTGATGTTGGGGTGTCATGTCCCAGAGGTGGTTTAGATTGTTACCTTCCAAGCTCTTTTGAATCCAGTTTCAAAATTGGACTCTTTACTCTCTTTTACTTTCCCATCAAGGTCTGATGGGAAACTGAGCCCCTGCAGGGAAGGGTCACATCTTGTACTTTGGGTCCCTACTTCCTAGCATAGGACCGGACGAGAGCAGTTCCTCAGGAACACTTACTGGGCCAAGCTGAGGGCCATCGGCACAGGACTTTGACTTTTTGTTGATGAGCGTGATGCCTTGTGTGGAGCAGTGTTGTTCTCAAGGTCCTGTCACAGTCAAGACTCCACTGAGGACTTCAAGGCCCATTTGGATGTATATGCAACTAAAAGTCAGGAAACCCTAGCTGTGAGAGGACTTTGTTTCTTAGAAGTGTGAGAAGGCCAGAGCTGAGGCATTTGGGGGATCGAGTGTAAGACAAAGTGTGTTTTTCCTGTAGCTTACTTGTCTTGTGTATGGAAATATCTGTTCCTAAAATGATTCTGGCAACATTCTCCAGCATGAAGAAAAAGAATAAGAAAATAACCAAAGGGAATATGTTGGCAGCTGTTGCTACTGATGCCTACCTTGTGGTTTGTTCCCCCCTCTAGTTAAATATGAACATGAACAGCTTCCAAAGAAAATTTGTGAATGAAGTCAGAAGGTGTGAGTCACTGGAGAGAATTCTCCGTAAGCCAATTTTCTGTTTGCTGTTGAAATGTGAACTGGTGGGGAGGTAAATGGTTTGAAGTAGTTGATTAACAAATATGTCCCTATAAAAATACTCTCTGAGGTGATGCTGGGGACCTGGTAGGGGAAGCTGATGTGGTATCCACATGCTGTGGTGGGTCCTGGGTGCAATTCAGGCTGCTTAGCTGGCCGAAAGGAACCTGTCCTGCTTGACCTCATGTCTTAGGTCTGAGAAAACACAGTCACTTTGGCTCTCTGGGGGGGGTGTTTCATCCCTCAGGTTTTCTGGAAGATGAGATGCAAAATGAGATTGCAGTGCAGTTGCCTGAGAAGTCTCCACCAACCCCTCTGCCACGGGAGATGATCGCCCTGGAGGTAGGTTCTTCCGTACTTTACTAAGGACAGTCAGGAGTCTGCCTCCTGGGGAGCTCTGGGGGCAGCTCATGGATTCTTTATCTGGTTGCTGAAGGCTTAAAGGCGGAGTGCCTGGTTGTCCTGTCTCAGTTTTACTCCTCAAGGAAAACCCATTGTGCAAAATTTCAGTCACCCCTCCTGATCCAGGAGAGAGCTCTTTTTCTCTCCCAACACAGCCCTGGTGAAGCTCGCTCCATTTTGAGGACTGGTTTCCTTAGTGATCATAGGGTCTTACAGGCAGCACAGTCTTGTTTCTGTCCCCAAACAGGCCTTATCCTGGCTCAATGAAACGCTTGCTTGCTTCCTTCCTTCCTTCACCATGCTGTATGCTACATCACCAGGACTTACTTATTTCAAGCCAAAGTTTTTGCTTTTGACCACCTTTACCCATGTTGCCCACCTCCCTTAGCAACCACAATCTGTTTTCTGTATCTGAGGGTTTTTTTTAAGATTCTGCATAAAAGTGAGATCCTACAGTATTTGTCTTTCTCTGCCTGACTTACCTCACTTAGCACAATGCCCTCAAGGTTCATCTATGTTATTGCAAATGGCCACGTTTCCTTTTAATGGCTGTATAGTATTCCTTTTGTATATTGATCACATTTTCTTTGTTCATCTATTGATGGACACTCATGCTGTTGCCATGCCTTGGCTAGAGTAAATAATGCTGCACTGAACATGGGGATGCAGATAGCTTTTCCGGAGAGTGATTTAATTTCCTTTGGATAAATATCCAGAAGTGTGATTGATGCATCATATGGGCTGTTCTCTAATAACCTCTCTGGTGGGAAAGAGCTGATGCATCAAGTCCACTCTAGATTGAGGCCTCTCCTCAGACAGGCTTTTGAGATTAACTGTGCCAAAAGAAGACAACAGTTTTCTTACATATAAAAGGTTTTTTACTTTTACGTAAGAAGTTTTCTTACATATTTCTTCCTATAAAAGGAAGACAGCCTACTTCCTTTTATAAAACACTGAGTGCTGGCCACGCTTAAGGCACCTTAGAAATAAAACATGGCATGCCCTGTTTGACTTTTTAGAGTACTATCTGAAACATAATTAACTCAACTTGGGAAAAAAAAACCACACTTGTTACCTGTTTAACAAAAGTAAGAAAATCTCTGTGTTTGTCAAGTTTCAATGTGGTATCAAAGCAGAGTACCTATAATTATTTGAAAAGGCTATTAAAATACTCCTCCCTTTTCCAACTATGTATCTGTGTAAGACTGAATTACATTCTAGAGTTTCTAGAGCAGGTGGTGGAGAGAGGAGCAAGGTGCAGGGTGGGGGTAGCAGGAGAGATTGTTCAAAGGGGGCAGATGCAGATCAAAGAGGGTCCTATAGATCTTGATAAAGAATGGGGCTGTTTTTTTTTTTTTGTAATCCTCAGGAGGAATGGCTCACTGAGGGAGGCCGGCAGGTAGGGGGAACTTCACTGACTGAGCCTTATCTCTGGCTGGATTTGTTTGCTTTTCTTTTAAGGGAACTTTAAACTTGAAAATTTTTGATCTATTGGTAGTATGAATCTAGGTACTCAGTGATATGAAACTGGCAATTCCTCTAGAAAATATTTTGGATCTTGTCACGTTAACACCTGGATATTTTGGGAGAAAGCTTCTAATGAATACAAATAGGATCTCCATAAAATCCTCTCCAACTTCAGTCTTATTCTTCTCCTACCTACCCTGTAGTGACCCCCTCCCTCCTGCTGCCATCTCCTCCACCAGCCTTGACCCCAAGCCTGTTCTTGCGGACTGTGAGATGTCATGCTGGCTGCTGCTTCCACCCTAATTGTGTTCTGAATTTTGGCAGAAGTTTTCTAGGCTTTTGAGCTGCCTTCTTCACCATCCCACTCTATCCTGCCTCCTGCCACCAGCTTGATTTGTCAAGGTGTTGCTTTGTCTCGCTGCTTCCCAGCTCAGGAATGTATGGTGTTTTCCTTCTCACCTAAGCTGGGTCCAGCCTGGCCATCCCAGCCGGCCGTTTGCAGCCCTGCTCCGCCTCTCAAGTCCTCTACTCCCCTTGGCTGGCCCTTGGTTGTTCTCTGCCTCCCCGGGTGCACTTCTCATTCCAAGCTTCTCTTCATGCCGCTCCTCATGCCCAGAGCCTAGAGCGTCCTTCCTGTTATTTCCCTGTTTCTCAGTCTGAACACACGTCTAGATTCAGTTCAGTTCCCACCTATTCTATGAAACCTTCTCTGGCTATGCCAAGACACACAGATTCCAAGTTTCTCAGAACTATTGGGCTTCTGATCAATATTACAGTAGTTCAGTAGTTCTTAAGCTTCTGGATCTCAGACACTTTTATACTCTTAAACATTATTGAGGATCCCAAAGAGCTTTATTTATGTGGGTTATATTTATATTTATTGCATCAGGAACTAAAGCTGGGGAAAAAAGTAAAACATTTATTTATTCATTTAAATATAACAATAATATTTCATTACATTTAACATTTTTTAAATGAAAAATAACTATTTTCCAGGACAAAAATGGGAGAAAAGTAGCATTGTTTGCAAATTTCTTAAATGCATGGCTTAACAAATATAAGCTACATCTGTTCTCACATCTGTTCTGCTTCTCACATCTATTCTTCTTTGAATTGATATTCATTCTCATTGACATATAGACAGATAATTCAGTCTTGCACAGACAGATATGTAGTTGGAAAAGGGAGGGATATTTTCATAGCCTTTTCAAATAATTGTCGATATTCTGTTCGATATTGCATTGAAACTTGACAAGCATGGAGACTTGTTTTCTTTTTTTTTTTTAATTAAGTTATCATTGATACACACTCTTATGAAGGTTTCACAAGAAAAACAATGTGGTTACTACATTCACCCTTATGGAGTCTCCCCCATGCCCCATTGTAGTCACTGTCCATTCTTGCTCTTATTTCAATAGGTAGCAAGTGTTTTTGTTTCCAAGTTGAGTTAGTTATGTTTCCGATCGTACCTTAAAAAGCCAATTCATCCAAATGAGTTTGGTTTCGGCTGTCTGGTTGGTTTTGAGATTCTCCACTCTCACGCATTTGTAGTAATAACCAGTTAGATAAGGGGCAATCAGATGTGTGCCAACAGTTTACTCAGTATGTTCGTTCTGGATATTATTTACTATCAAGATGAAATTAAAGTAACATGAGTTCATGAGAGCGCTACAGTCTTATCACTGATTATGGGGACTGACTGACTGACCTACTCCACTGGTCTGGCAGTTCCCAAGGTTGCTGTGTTTCTCCAAAATCCCTAGAAAGAAGAAACCTTCCTGGCTAGAGTACCCAAGTGGCTTTGGGTCTTTGCCTTGTAGAATTTCTGAAGAGGCTTTCATGACAATTCTAGAGGAAATATTTACCTAGAATAAAAATCTACCCACAAATCCCATATCTCATCAATAACTGCCTTCATTTTTCTGTTTTTAAGCTTTATTCTTATTGCTACATTTTTATATAACTAGATAACCATAATATACATTATAGTTTTCTACTTTTTGCATTTACTACCATATTGTAAAACATTTATTAGATATTGCATTGTTCTCCAAAATATTTTTAATGGCAATATTATTTAAAAACAATCATTAAGTAGATAGAGCAATGGTTAAAAAATGGGAATTTCATTGTTTCCCCAACTTTGTGCCACTATAGCCAGTGTTCAAAACCCAAGGTAGTGATTATCTCTGAGAGGGGAGGGAATGGGGTGCAGCTGAAGCTGGATGATGAATACAGGGTTCATTACATAGCTCTCCTCTTATGTTTGTAATTTCCTATCATAAAAAATGTTAAATATTCAAATTGGTCTGATATTAATATGCTTTTTGTAGGGAGAAGGGAATTAACATTTGCATGGATATCTTTATCTCTTTGGTAAGAGCGTCTCTTAGGTAGATTTTTAAAAAGCCAGCATATAATTGTCCTTTAATTGGTGACCTTAGTCCATTTCATTTATTGTGGTTACTGACTTACTGGCTCTTTAGTATACCACTTGTTTTCGTGTTTTTCCCCCCTTCTCCTGCCTTTGTTGTGATACCTTCCAACCCTTCCCAACTTCTCTTGTTTTGAAAGCTATAAACTATAGTTACACCTAACATGTCAAGGTACATACTTAGTACATTTTCCCCGTAAAACCTGCTGCTGGTTCAAAGGTCATTCATTCCTTTGTAGATTATGCGTCTTTTTCTCCCTAATGTTAAGGTTTTGTCTTTATTATGATGTGTTTGTGCATGGATTTATTTGTAATTGTTTTTATAAATGTTGAATTGATATAGTAGAATTTTTAGAAACTATACTAAGGTATAGAGAATAACGATATAGCCAATACCAAATGCCACCCTATGTAAGATGAAAGGTGACCACAGCTCCTGAAGCCCTTTGTGCCCCTGCCCACTTCTCCCCCTTGCTCCCCTCCCCTCTCCTTCTCATCTTTGTCCTTCACTCCTTGGAGATAATCACTACCCTACATTTTGTAGTTTTCTTTTCCTTGTTTCCTCATAGTTTCATCACATATCTGGTCTTCTAAAAGCATTTGGTTCAACTTTGCACATTTTAAAGTTTTATATAAATGGAATCATAATGTGTATTCTTTTGCAACTTGCCATTTTCTTACAATTTTCTTACATCATTTAATTTTTTTAAGACCATATTGTTTCAGGTTTTTGAAATTGATTCATTTTCACTACAGGGTAGTGTTTCTTTTATTGAACGTACCACACTTTATCCATTCTATTGTGAATGGACAATTAGATAAATGAGAAATGAGTTTTTACATTTTTCAATTGTTTGCTAAATCTCAGTGGTGCTTTCACAAATTGTGCCCAGTAGAGAACTGATCTTCACTTAGTGGATTTGAATTTCAATAGCTTTATTTTACATCTCTAAGGCTCTAAGGTAAATACTTTTACCTTTTCTTTCTTTCATTTTAGGGCATGTTTGTTTAATAATTTCTTGTCTTTATTTTTAGTGGAAATAATGCCTTCATTTATCTCTTTGAACAATCTAAAAAAACTTTAAACTCCTTTTCAGACTATAAATTATTTGTATAGATTATTTCTGTAAAAATAATTTCACCCAATGTGGTTTTGTGTTCTGATTGTAGATTTTGCTGGTGATTTTCCTTGTCATTAGATTTCTTCATGAGCCCTATTCTTTTTTGCACGCTCATCTTGGAGAGAAGTTTTTTCTTTGTTTTTGTCTTCTTGCCTACTGTGCTCATTATTCTACATCGCCTTTTCCATTTGCTTGGACCTGGTTCTGCAGACCCCAACCAAGAACTGCTGGTTTCTCTTTTTATTTTATTGTAAAATATGTTTTGTATTTTATCATTACAGTGTGTTTGGGGCAGCAAGAATTCTCAAAGTGTAAATTACTCCAGCTTCGCTTTCTAGTATTTTAATGGGGAGAGGCTTGCAATTGGCCAAAATGCCTTGGCTTCTTCATGAAGCTAACTTCCCTTCCTGCACAGTGTTTTCTAACCTCTCCGTTTGAGGTTGGAAGGAACTCTAGAAAGTGTGTGAATACGGCTCTAGCTTAGAGCTCTATCATCACATGGAGTCAGACTGAGCAGGTCACTCAACGCAAGCTTCGTATTTAGCTTTGATATTTAATTATCTGTTGTGGTTAATGTAAACATCATAGGACTTTCTGCCTGGTTTTCTTTTTTTTTTTGCCTCCTGCATAGACTGTTCTAGAAAAACTAGAAGGAGAGTTACAGGAAGCCAACCAGAACCAACAGGCTTTGAAGAAAGGCTTCCTAGAATTGACTGAACTCAAACATCTACTGAAGAAAACCCAGGACTTCTTTGAGGTTGCTTTTTGGGGACTGTTTATTAAAGGGGCCTTTCCCCAGAGTCTCAAATTTCCATTTTGAAAACTAGCTGGTTTGGAATATGAATGAATTGCTGTTTCAGTCCCATGGGAGGCCATTGTTGGGTGGGGGGTAGTATTTTGGGTAGAATGTGCTGCTGGTTGAACTGAATGCAAAAGTTATTACGGTGCTCATTGAAAAGTATGTGCCCCAAATGGCCCAGACAGAAGTGGGAGTCACAACCAAGTACACGGTAGAGTAGATTTGGGATTTTGGGAGGAAGGGATTAAGGAAACTTTTTGATCTGGCAAGGGGCCCTCTACTTTTTGAATTCTGTTAACAATTTGTGGAAAATTATAGCTTCATTAAAAACAGACAATACCTTGATGTGTGGGGTGCTTTTAAGGTAGTCTAAGTACATTTAAGTGAATAAAGTGGTTCTTTGACTTTCAGACAGAAACCAATTTAGCCGATGATTTCTTTATGGAAGATACTTCTGGTCTCCTGGAGTTAAGAGCAGCACCTGTATACATGACTGGAAAGCTGGGGTGAGTGTTAGCTCCAGGCTCTTCACATGAACATAAGGCTTCCATGCAGTAATAAACCCCAATGTAACCTTACCAGGTTGGTAGAGTTGGAGGTAGTGTTACCTTCTTGTTAACAGTGATGGTAACATTCTGAAGCCCAAAAAGTACAGTGTGTGTATTGTCCCCATGTGGGAAGGATGTGGCGATAATTGTTTGCATGGGTTTTCTCAACTATTCCCTGGCTTTGGGACAAGGCATATGGCATATATATTTTTACTTATCTTTGAAATACTGCTTCGGTAATACAATAGATTTGGAGTTTGAAGTTTAAAGTATAATTAGAAATGAGGTGTGGTTATGCAGTCATGTCATCCAGAAGTAGCAGTAATAGATGATGGGATAATACCCATCAAAATGTATGGGGATTCAAAATGGTGGGATTTCATTCAGTGTCCAAGTAACATTGATTAATTGATGAGAGTGATACATTTTGCAGTTTGTGTTTTTCAGTAAATACTTAGAGGCCTACTGTTTGAGGCACTAGATATTGAATTTGAAGTGGGAAGAAAAAATACGTAGTGAAAATATTTGATCAGAGTGTAATAAAGGATCAATGTACATTAAAATAAAAGACAAATGAAAGTAACCATTTTTAAAAAGTTAATATGAAAAAGCTGGGTCAGAAATTACCTAGATACCTGGATGATTGTTAAAGTAGAGATGTGTAGAAATCAGTGTATAGTCAACTCTTGAGCAATGTGGGTGTTAGAGGTGTCAACACCCCTGTGTAAGTGAGAAATCCGCATGTAACTTTCGACTCCCCCAGAACCTGACTACTAAGACTACTTGTTGACAAGGAAGCCTTACTGATAACATAAACAGTCAATTAACATTTATTTTGTATGTTATGTATATTATGTATACTGTATGCTTACAATAAAGTAAGCTCGAGAAAAGAAAATTGTTTTTCAAATTGTGACAAATCTCCAAAAAAATTTCCAATATATTTATTGAAGAAAAAATTTGCAAATAAGTGGACCCGCACAGTTCAAACCTGTGTTGTTCAAGGGTCAACTGTATGTATTCTCTCAGTACATTATTTGTAAAAATGCATAGAGATCATTGTTGAGCAATTTGAACATTTGTGTCCTTCAGCTGCAATGCTATAATGAATGTCATGTTTTTAATTGCAAATAAGTGAATGTGTAACATTGGGATGATTAAGGAAATCCCAGCATGTCAAAGGAAACTGGAGGTCAAAAGGGGCTTGGGGCAAGTAAAAGCGGCATGCAGAGTGGCTTTGTGACCCCTGCCAGGTAGGGCCGTGTGCACCTACTGCTCAGAGGGATGCGGTCCTTCTGGGAAGTGGTCCTTATGGTTGGTTACCCACCATCATGTCCTCCAGAGCTTTCTCCCGGCATCCCCCCTGGGCCGCAGTAATGGCTCCTCTTATGACTGTCCAGGTTCACGGCTGGCGTGATCAACAGGGAGAGGATGGCTTCCTTTGAGAGGCTGCTGTGGCGAGTGTGCCGAGGAAACATCTATTTGAAGTTCAGTGAGATGGAAGTGAGTTTGGAGGACCCTGTCACGGTGGGTATCTCAGGCTGCAGAAAACGTTCTCTTAAACTCCCTGCAGGCTTTGCAGGGTTTTGTTCTCTCAAACATTTGCCTTTAGTTCTGTGGAGCTTATGTCTATTTCTTTTCCTTTCTGTTTCCTTTTCCTTTTTTTATAATATGGAAGATCAATTCAAGGGCTGATTCTTGTTCATTTTCCAAGAAACTCAGCTATCCGTGCTCCTAGAAACTTAGCTGCACCAGTGCTGCACGATGTGTCTTAAGGACAAAGAACTGAGAACTGATGTGGGTCAGTGTGCCCCAGGCTTTAGCGGGCACGTGAGCGGAAGGGTGACCTGGGTACCTTGTTGAAGTGCAGATTCTGCATCCCTAACAAGCTTGCCGAGCTGGTAGTCAAAGGACCACACACTTCAAACAGGGGTTCTGAGGGGGCCGCTCCACGGAGGGCCACACATTTATCGCTACTTATTCCATAGGGTTTTCTGCCCCCACCCTTCCAGTTCATATGTCAATCCATTTACTTTTCAATTCCAAGAAACTGGGCTAATTTCTAAAAGTGCCATCATCTTTTCTAGAATAGAAGCAAAAAAAATTAATTTTTAAGTTTTATTTCATGGAAAACAACTTCATAGTTAAATTTAAAGTAAGAAGAAAGCTTATTTTAAAAAACACAAAACTAATGTCTTTATTTTTATTTTCTCATGCTGTTTTTCTTTAGTCCATAGTCATACCCAGGAATAATTTGATGTGGTTGCAGTAATCACATAGAAGTCTTTTTTTTTTAAACTTCTCTTGATTTTAGATAATATAAACTTCCCCCTATATTACTATGTGTCATTTATAAATATTCTTTTAAAAGTTGACATTGAACATCATTTTTCATAATCATATTTTGACATGTAGTAGTTGAGAGAGTATTTGTAAAGTAAGATCTGGAAAAAGATGACCTTAGCCTGTAATCACTAAAGGTCACCAAGCTGATGTCATGAGACCAGAATGGATTCCTGGTTCTGGTGGATGAAGAGCCAGAAGGACCTAAGAGATTTAGGGAAGAACTCCATGGATGAAGGAGTCTTTGGAAATAATGTAAAGCAGACAGCTCCTCAAATCTCAAAATACCCAACTCCTGCTATGATGAGCAATCGCCAAATGGACAATTCATTCTGATGTTATTTTCAATAAATGCCTGATGTTTCCATTGAGTTGTGACATTAACTGTTTATGGGCATTTTATTTCCAGTTTTTTGAGCATTTTCATGAGTGTGGATTTTTATTTTCTTTTGAATTACATCCATGATAGGAATTCAAGGAAATGGGACTGCTGGTGTAAAGGGTGTGGCGCTTTCATTACACTTGATGGGTCCCGACAAATAGCTTTTCAGTGGGGTTGTTTCTGATTCCAGCACCCTGAGTGGTATGTGATGAGTGCGTCAGATATATTACTTTTCCAACAATGAGTGGATTTCATAATTTTACCTTTACTATCCACCCCAAAGCAAATGAGTAAAACAGCATTGTTTTGCTTACAAAGTTGAACATTTCATATATGCTTGTGAAATACATATTCTCCCTTCCTTGTGAGTTACCAAACTTGGATTTTAAAATTGCACTTTAATCAGCGCCTTAAACATGGATGTTGTGTAGAGTTAACTCTTAGTGAGCCAGGTCAGCTCTTTTCATTTTAAGCCTTGCAATATCCTGGCCCCTCTCTTCTGGATGTTTCCTTGTTTATTAATGCAATAGGGCTTAGAGGTGGGCAGGGCTCAGCTGTGGCCAAACTAGTGGAGTCAGCAGTGCTGATGTTGCTCTAAGGCTGCCTTGGCCTCCGGGAGGCTCCCCTGTAGCCTACCTCCGTGGTCTTGCTCTCAACCATAATGAATTAGGAACCTAGATCAACTGGGAGAAGTTGAAGTTTCCCAATTTTAAATTTATAAGTTGTTTTAGACCTAAAAACAGAACTTTCCGTTTCTATTATATTCTAACCAGAAAGGAAAAAAAATTTTTTTTCGACTGTTCTGATTTTCTAGAGAGAAGAAATTAAAAAGAATATCTTCATCATATTTTATCAAGGAGAACAACTCAGGCAGAAGATCAAGAAGATCTGTGATGGGTAAGGGGCTGCTAACGGCTCTTTTCTCAGTGATTGGGGTCAGGATTAGTGAAGAGGTATGCCGGAGAAAGTACAATTGACGGGACTTCTTAGGGGTCCCTTAGGGTTTTAGAATAACATTCCCACATTTGACTGTAGATAGTGTTAAAAATGCAACTGATTTTTAATAATAGTGGGAATAGGAGCAGAGAGGACTTACTTGCATAAGCAAAATGTAAAGGTAACTGAAAGCAGACATGTTAGCCATTTCAGTTTCTTTCTTATCACACCTTTCATCAGTTGCTAAAGAGCTGGCAAATGCATAAAAAGAAAGAAATCCTGCCATTTGCGACATGGATGGATTTAGAGGGTATCATGCTAAGTGAAATAAGCCAGGTGGAGAGAGACAAATGCCATGTGATTTCACTTATTTGTGGAATCTAAAAACAAAACAAAACAAACAAAACAGCAAAAGACTCAGACTGGTGATAGTGGTTACCATGGGGGAGGGTTTGGGTGGGTGAGTAAAATAGGCACAAATTCTCAATCATAATATAAATTAGTCACGGGAATAAAAGTACAGCATAGAGAATATAGTCAACATCTTTCTAGGTTAGTAACTGCACTAGTTGGGGTGAGCATTTAATAATGTATATAAATGTTGAATCACTATGTTGTATACTTGAAACCAATATAATATTATATATCAACTATACTTCAATTTTTTAAAATATCAGAAAAAGAGCAGACAAATGCATGCTAAGTTGTTTCTGTTTTTACAGAATCTCTTATATCTTTTCAAAGCAGAAATTATTCAGTAGAGAAGGGTGTTACCATATTAATAAATTCTTGGGGAAGAAACACCTCAAGTTGTAGTCTTATTTACCCAGCAGCTCACAGGTTTTATGGGTTGAATGAAGCTCATTCACATGAGCTTTAACTCAAATAGCTAAGTGATGCGTGGGGAACCCTTATGACTGGACTCATTTTCTGACTGCTAAGGAGACAGTTATTCTACGAAAGGGGACCATCTAACCAAAGTGAGCAAAATGACGGCTTAGCAGAAGAGGATGTGTGGAATCCTTTTTAGTAACTACCCACACATGTCCTTTGGAATGTGTGAAACACAGGTTTCGAGCCACCGTCTACCCCTGCCCAGAGCCTGCGGCGGAGCGGACACAGATGCTGGCTGATGTCAACGTGAAGCTGGAAGATTTAATCACTGTGAGTGAGGAGTTCAGGCTCAGGACCTGAGTGGGGGCTGCAGATGGGCTCCTCTGCCGCTTCCATATAAATCCTGTCTCCCAGGGCCCTGGTTCCAAGGCTGGGGAGAATGTTTGCTATGTTCTTCCAGCTATTGCTGCAAAGATTTAAAAATTAGCAAACTGTTCGTTAAGCTAGAGGTGATAATTCTGCATGAGTAATTCTTTGCCTGGGCTTAGAATTGACCACAGACCTAGTCAGCCTTTGAGCGGCTGCCCCAATCTGATAAAAGGAGCCCTTTATTGTCAGCCTGGCCTAGGCCACTCTACGATACAAGTAACTAGCCAATTAAGTTGAATAACCAGTCTGACTGATTCTTTTTCCATTGGATTGCCTGGTTGTTTGAGCCAACCAATTACTTCTGTAAAAACACCAAGTCTTGTTTCACCCTGTGAACACATCCTGAATTCATATCCTCTTGTAAACTCAGTCATCACCCAGGCTGGCACTCAGTGCTTACATGATTAGGGCACTTTCTTCAATAAGCTTGGAAAGTGATCACTAAAAGCAGCCGGGCCTGCGTCAGATTGTATGTTGTAGATCAGCCCTGTCCAGTAGACCTGTGGTGGCAGAAATGGTATATGACCCGGCAGTCCTGTGCCATGGCCGTTCTGAGTCACATGTAACCAATGAGCACTTGAAACATGGCTAGTGCAGCTGAAGAACTGAATTTTAATTTTAATTTTAATTTTAATTAAATGTGAGTGTTTGGAGCTGCATGTGGCTGCTCAGCTCTAGATGCTCATGAGTGTCTTTAGGAGTTTAGGGGTGTGCGTATGTTCCAAAACTGTTAGACTAACAGACATTTTGATCTCCCCGGAAGAATCTGTGTTTAATTTCTTTAATCCTCTCTGTTCCCTCTTTGTCAAGGAAACTTATGCTTATGTCTAGTATGACTTGGGCAGCCCCATGTAAAGGTTACTGAAAAGAGTTACTCTGTTTTATAAAGATTAATTCCATTAAATAAATTCTATGTGGGCTAAATTGTCCATTCCTTCCTTCCTTCATTAATTCACTTGTCTTTTATTAGAGAGATTACATATGTAAAGAGTTTTGATAGGTGTGTGTTTCCTATGGCTGCGGTAACAAATGGTCACCAGCAGGGGACGTAAAACGTCAGAAGTTTATTCCCACAGTTCTGGAGGCTGGAAGTCTGAAATCAGAGTGTCGGCAGAGCCCTGCTTCCTCTGAAGGCGCTGGGAAAGCATCCTATCTTGCCTGTTATGCTATGGTGTGGATGTTTGTGTCCCCGCCAAATTCATGTTGAAAACCTCCCAGCCAAGGTGATGGTATTTGGCAGCGGGGCCTTCGGGAGGTGATGAGGACTGGAATGAGATGAGTGCCCTTAGAAAGGAGGCCCCGGAGAGCTCGCTTGCCCTTTGGCCAGGTGAGGATAGAATTTGAAGCCTGCAACCCAGAAGAGGGCTTTCAACTCAGCCACGCTGGCAGCCTGATTCAGACTTCAGCCTCGAGATCTGTGAGAAATCAGTTTCTGTTGTTCATAAGCCCCCAGTCCGTGGTATTTTATTAGAGCAGCTCCTGAGCCTCCAGGGCACACAGGCTATCCGGGTGTCCTCGGTTTGTAGGTACAGCACTGCAGTCTCTGCCTCCCTCACACGGAGTGCACTGCCCCGCGTGCCGACATCACAGGCTCTCAGAAGGACTGGTCATGTCGGGCTGGGGCCCACCCTGCTCCATTGGGACCTCGTCTTCCTACTCAGTGACATCTGAAAGACCCTATTTCTAAAGAAGATCATGTTCTCAGCTACCAGGGGTCCAGGACTTCAACACATCTTTGGGAGGGACACAATTCCACACAACAATAGTACTATAAGGAATTTGGAAGAAAAGAAAGATACAATCTTTGCCTAAGGGTTTTAACCTTTAGTAGGGGAGATAAACTGCTCAGGAGAAGGAAAGGCCACAGGGCAGCTGCAGCTAGAGGGGGGAGCCCAGAGCAGAGGAGCAGGCATGGCTGGTGGGCCTCCATCTTTGCCGTGGTTGTTCCTTGTTTTTCTGTGTGGTGTTTTTTGCCCAGGTCATAACTCAAACAGAGTCTCACCGCCAGCGGCTCCTGCAAGAGGCAGCTGCCAACTGGCACTCCTGGGTCATCAAAGTGCAGAAGATGAAGGCCATCTACCACATCCTAAACATGTGCAACATTGACGTCACCCAGCAGTGTGTCATTGCTGAAATCTGGTTCCCGGTGGCAGACGCCGGGCGCATCAAGAGGGCACTGCAGCAAGGCATGGTGAGCGGCCAGTGGGGCAGCCTCATGGCCCCTCCGCCAGGCACTCGGAGGGCAGCACCCCCCTAAGTCGCAGGAACCTCACAAGTGACTTGCTGCTAGGATTGCCTCCTCCACCATTGTATCTTCAGTTCTATCCAGTGCTAGGGCACCTGACAGAAACTCCTTTTCTTCTCAGTGTTTGACAAATATTCATCATTTCTTCATCTTCAGAGAGTATATATTGAGCACTGATGTGTCAGTCACTCTGCTAGTTATGACTGTAGCTACCACAGTCGTGTGACTGTAGGTATCATCCTTGGCCTCACGAAGATCACAGTCCAGCTGGAAAGACAAAGAGCCGGGCACCTGTAGTCAGGGCCAGAGTGAGTAGATTGCTCACTGTATGCCACCAGCTGTGCTTAACTCTTTTGTACCTTACTTAACCTACTGCTCTCGTCATTCATCTCTCCAGATGGTCACTGTGCACCGGCACCTGACCTGGGGCTGTCCTGGCAGAACAGAGTCCCATTCTGAGACTTTCTACAAAGGGAGACAGAAAGAAAACATGTCCATAATTGATGTGGTTTAAGGCCGTGATGCATGGTGGGCAGGAGGGAAAGCAGGGGGATAGTGAAGGATGAGGGGACAGGGGCTTCTTCTGATCACCTGACCACTCCATTGGTGTAGAAGGGAACCTCAGACCTAAGTAATACAGGATGGTCAGACACAGGACACCTGACCCTGGACAGCCATTTATCGGTCACATCTGCTCATGGCCCTGGGCAGGCAGATACCACGTGCCACACAGGCACAGGGAGGCTGCCCATAGGATTTGCACTTGGGGGCAGAATGAGTCAGCAGGGCTTTGGGAGGCAGGCTTTGTAGTGACAAGAGGGTGGGGAGGCCGTAGGTTCCCACGGGAGGATGGGATTAGCTTGTTTGAGTAGTTTTCTGGCAGGAGGTGAAACCTATTAGGTGGAAGACTGGGCTGAGAGCAGCTAGTCTGGCTGAGAGGAGGCCTAGCTGGGTGGGGAGCCTTCCCTGCTAAGTGGGGGGCACATCTGGTGAGAGTAGGCAGCTAAACAAGAAATGAAAGTTGGGGGAGGATCAGGGCCATTTGGAAGAGAGGGATGAGACTAGGAAAGTAGATGGACTCTTGAGGGAGTTAAGTGTTGAGAAAGGAGAAGTGGAGGGCCTAGGATGGGGCATAACCCAAGCCTGGGCAGGAGCAGAAGGAACTGCCAGAGAATCAGGAGGAGCGCTTCTCCCTGGACACCTCTTCCTGTGAGATAAATGAAACGAGTATTAACTGTTACAGATCAGATTGTGAGCCTCAGAGAGAGTTTGCAGACAGGGCTGGGTCCCAAGTTCACCCAGGGAGTGGTGGCAGGTGGTGGACTGAGACCCATGTGCTGATACCCAGCCCAGATCTTATATCTTGGTCATGTGTTCTTTCTGCAGGAATTAAGTGGCTCCTCCATGGTCCCCATCATGACCTCAGTGCAATCTAAAACAGATCCTCCCACCTTTAACAGGACAAATAAATTCACAGCTGGTTTCCAGAATATTGTAGATGCGTATGGTGTAGGCAGTTACCGGGAGATAAACCCAGGTAAAGGATCTAATGCATTGTACAGCTGGGCAGCTTGAAAATTAAATTGGTAGAATTTACCCCAGAGGTGGCCTAGGAGGTGATTTATTTAAAACTGTGACATTATGGAAATCTTATTTGGTTTCCTAATGCTCTGCAATGTCTTCTGTATGTGGGTCCTGTGAGTAACTCCTGGATGTGTGTGGTGTATGTGAATGGTGGAGAAACAGGCCAAAGGTGGTGGGGAAAAGAGCCCAGAAAGCACTTAGAATACTGGCTTTAAATCTCATTAAACTTTGTGATCTTGGTCAAGCCACTTAGCCCCCAAACTTAGCTTATCTGTAAAGTGGGGAACAATGACGGCTTACCCATCGATGAGCTGAAATCTGCAGGAGCTAAGCAAGTGTCTGGGGGTGGGCACAGTGAGAGAAGTGAGAACTGGAAAGACCCCAGGGACCGGGTTGTGGATCACAGAGCGTGGTGAGCACATCTCTGATGTGGAGCCTGGAGGGTGCTGAGAGGACTCAGGCTGCTGAGGGTCTCGCCCCTGCAGCTCCCTATACCATCATCACCTTCCCCTTCCTGTTTGCCGTGATGTTTGGAGACTGTGGTCATGGAATTGTGATGCTACTGGCCGCGCTTTGGATGGTCCTGGATGAGAGACGCTTGCTCTCCCAGAAGACAGACAATGAGGTAGGTGTCCGTCAAAGGTCTCCCCTCATTTCCTCGAGATTGAGAAGTAGAATATCAAAAATGTGTATGTCTTCACCATAGACATAAGATATTTTTGTGAAAAGCAATGGAAAGACAATGTAAAAAAGGGCCAAAATTCGACATAAAAACTGGCAGAAGGATGGTGCAGTTCATTTCAGCATTTTTGTATTTTGTTCATTGCTCGGCAAAGTATCAATCTTTTACTTTTTTTCCTTATATTATTTTTTTCTTTGATTATTAAAGTATTGTGTGTTTATTGTAAAATGTGGGAAAATGCAACAATCTAACTACCTACAGAAAAATTACACTTAATGTTTTTGTGTATGTCCATTTTTTCTGTAGTTACATATAAATATATAGTTTTCAAAAATTGGGATTAAGTAGTGAATATTAATTCATACCCTCTTTTTTTTTCCACTTAAAATATCACAAGTATTTTTCCACGGCAGAATCCTTCTCCCATGATCGGCTCATGATCAGCATTCTTATGGAACACTGAGAAATTGTGACTATCCTGTTTTCCTTTACACTCCAAGTTTCTACCCCTTCTGTGAAGTCCCTTTGTTTGAAACAATCTATACTGTTTCAAAGTTAATCTATTAGTGTCACTTTATGTCCTTTGCAATACATTTTATAAGTTGGAAACAGGCCTTTAGCTATGTTCTGAATTTTAAGAATTTCTGTAAGCTTTTATTACAAATTAACTAGACCTTGTTCCATGATGTCATAGTGAGTTAATCATAAGCAGAGTTAAATGTTAGTGGGAAACTCAGTCTAAGACCAGTACAGTTTTCCAGGACAAGCATTTTAACAGAGGTCGTTCTTTTATGATAAATATTTGAAGTCTCTGGCAGCTCTGAGAGTGATTGTTACCTATCATCCAGTATTATGGAAAGCACTTTACTCTTCTTTGTGAATGTTCTTGGACAGAGACTCCATTTTTTAATGACAGAACCCAAAAGAAGTGTAGATTTGACTTGCTGTAGAATTTAGCAGCCCTATGAGGCCAGCCCTCTCAGTGCTTGTCTTGCCACGACTGTTCCCATGGGGCGGGAGACGTCCTACAGTAAACCTTCCCCAGGGGTCTGGCTCAGACCCTGCTGACAATCGTCCTCTCTGTCTTCTGAGGCCAGATCTGGAACACCTTCTTCCATGGTCGCTACCTGATCCTCCTTATGGGCACCTTCTCCATCTACACGGGCTTGATTTACAACGACTGCTTCTCCAAGTCTTTCAACATCTTCGGCTCTTCTTGGAGTGTCCAGCCCATGTTCAGGAATGGCACGTGGAAGTAAGTTTGCACACAGAGCTGGGTCACTCAGTGGCCATCCAGGTCGCCTGGGTGGTAGTTTCCATGGCCAGGGGAGGCTCTGTTCACTTTATGTACTGATTATAAGACCTTGTACCATTCCTCAGTACCTGTGCTGATAACTGTAGCACACGGAAATAGTTTCTAACACTTTGGCTCAATTAGCTAGTTATCATGAAGTGCCTGCCATGTGCAGGTGCTCTTGGGACCCGTGGTGGAGCCGGCTGGGCTGAGCATCGTGGGGCAGCCACAGCAGCAGGGCTCCCCGGAGAAGAGGAGGAAGGTGTTGCTCTAAGAAAGGCTGATGTGGTGTTGAGCCATATAAATGGGTAGTGTCCAGTGTTGAAGGTCAGGCTCTCGAGAAGGGCAAGTTCAGAGCGGCTTGATTCAACTGGAGGCAAAGGAGGAGGTGGTCAGGGCTGCAGTGCTCAGTGGGTGTTACTGCCCGTGGGCGATGGGGTGAGGATGGCGGCAGGGAGGGTGGTGTGGGTAGGCTGGGGCCGTGAGGAGGGCTGTCGGCTGCAGAGAAGGCACCTGGCAGCTCTCTACATCCCACCGACCACACTCCTCCATGGTGATGGTATCCAGTCAGTTAGTCATCAGAATGGCAACATGCGCCCCAGGAATGGAGACTTTCGTGGGGAGGGAGAAAGATTTTAAGAGTTTGAGAGGTGGGGCAGCCTGCTGATTCGGAGGAGAACAGGGGGCAGAGGAGGAGGGGGATGAAGAGGAAACAAGATAGAAACGGCGGTTGCCCCGGGACCTCGGGGGCTCTCGGGCTGCTGCATCACCCCTGAGTTAGCCACGCAGCGGCGGGCCTGAAGGCACCGGCGACCGTCTCCGATGTCTCTCTGCCCACCTTCCTCGAGGCACCTTCAGATTTCTCTCTCATTCTGGAACTTCCAGTTGGAAGTGTGAGCAGAGAGGACTGGAAGCAGGTGGAGGCCGAGATGTGTAAACGTTTTTGCAACTTCTCCTCCCATCTTGTCTCTCTCAAGCATGGGAGGACTCTAAAATTTCTACTTCAGGCCCTCACCAGAATCCGCACTAAACACCCTGAGTGGGGGGAAAGAATAAATGTTCAATCTCATCCCAAAATGTTCCCATTAGAAAAGATTCAATCCAGCGTTCCTTCCGGCTTGGAGTTTCCCCAGGGGCATTCAAGGGCCTGACGCTGATGGAAGGCACAGGGCAATGATGGTGTGAGGGTGGTACCACAGAGCGCCAGTGCACCCCATCTCTGCTGGATCCCAGGTCCTTGAGGTAGAGGACAGGAACGTGAATAAGTAAGCAAGTAAAAATGAAGAATAACACGTTTTCCAGAATTACAGATGACTATGTTTATAGGGCTTTCCATTTTTGTTTTTTCTTTGAAGAGATTGCTTGAAGAGATGCCTGTAAGAAAAAAACTTTCAGAATTAAAGGCAAATTACTTAGATTTCAGACTTACACTCTTGAACATAGTGATGGACTTTGAAACATGTTAAATCAGCATAATTTTACCGACCTATCAACATGAAATTTCATTTACCCTGGTGTTTGATTAGAAAGGTCCCAATCAACTGGCTTGTCCCTCTGCAGAAGTGGGCCCGATTGTTGCTCTTTTGTGCATATGCAAATTACCTCTGCCTCGATTTAAGGCTCTTGGAGGCCAATCCCGGTCTGAGAGTGGCTCAGCCACAAGCCCAAGATCGATGGCCAAAGCAGAACCTCCTTAGGAGGAAGGCAGAAGACAGATGCGGCCCTCCATCAGTGCAGCAAAGGACACAGCCAGCTAATGGTGGTCACCAGCCACGAGCTAGGCCTTGGGCCTGCTTTCCTTGACCACTGACTGGGGACACTGTTACAGTGTCCTTCCTCCGTAGACTCCCGGATACACACCTGACCTCCCCCAGCCTGGGTGTACTGCCTCAGTGAGGGAGATGGTGCACCGATGGCAATCGCGGGCATGTCAGTCAGTGTTAAAAACAGCCTAGAGGATTTGGCCTCTGAGGGAATGGGGGTAGTTTGGTCATTTTTGTGGCTTGGACAATGTTCATATTTGATGTGTCCATATTTTGATAATCAGATATGACTGTGAAACGGTCACAGGTGGCCTTGTCTAATGCAGGTGATCTGTAAAATTGTTTATGTTCAGCAGCAGGCTCTGGCTTAGCTGTGGGTGCCTGGTCAGTTTCCTCTCATCAGGGGAGGCTATTCCCTTTGTTTGACACACAAACACGTCTCTGCTAATTAACTCCAGCCATTTGCACCAAGCCATGACGTTAGGACGGGGTCTAAGTCTGGGATGGCCCGTCTAGGTCAGGTGTCTCACTGCACCCTGAGGGCCTGGCCAGCATGGTCAGGTTTCCTGACCTCCCTCCACCCCTTTCCCTCACCCACGCGCAGATGCGGGAGTGGGGAGTGTATCTCCAGGCAGTCTATCAAAGTTGCCTGCCCTCTTCCTTATTTCAAATACTCATTCTTGGGCCCCTCCATAGATGTGTTAGTTACCTTGTTAAACAAATTTTTAAAAGCCCTCAAGTTCTTATCCCCTTGGGGCTTGCAGAGACAGTAAGAAATTCCTACCCACTGACATTCATGCTTCTGCATAAAAGGGACAGACTTAGAGGCAGTGGACCGTGACTTTTGAGAGCTGAGTTTCAGAGAGACAGGGCCCGTGTGTGAAAGCCAGTTCATCCCTGCAGAACAGCTCATGTGCGCCCCGTTTCCCTTTACTATACCCCATTAGGCTGAGAGCCCTTTGGAAACCCAGGCTGGGAACCCCTCGGGGGCCAGATGGGACTTTCCAGAGCGTTGGCACTAGGCTGATGCTTGGTACGTGATAGGTATTCAGTACTCCTTCGTGGAGGAATTGATTGATGAGCCAGGTCAGTGAGGTGCACCAGCGGGTAGACTTGACCGGCCTGCGTGTCCCAGACTGACGGTGCTCTAGGGTCATTTCCTACTTCTGGTTGACCGTGGGTCTTGTTTTCATGTTTCCCTCTCCCTCTGTAGTATGCACATCATAGAAGAAAATCCGTATTTACAGCTGGACCCAGCCATTCCAGGAGTGTACTCTGGAAATCCATACCCATTTGGGATTGATCCGGTAATAATGTCTTCTTGGGTTAAATATTTATTAAGTAAAATGTCTTGCTGAAGAGATCTCTGGGTAGAGGGGAAGTCAGTGCCAGAATCTGTCAAATCAACACACTTAGGCTGAGATAGAATAACATGTACTGGGGGTTTCTGTGACACACTGCACTGGCCACAAGTAAAATGTCCTGCCTGCACCTTTTACCCAGCCTCTGGGGCATTTTCCATACAGTTCTGACATCTGCCTCTTTTTTCATCAGTTTATACCCCTGGTGGTTAATGAGTGCTTCTTTAAAAGTCCTTGGTTATCTGAAAAGTATGCGCATCAGATAAGCTATTTTGCATCCTAATCAAGTTCCCTACTTTTCTTGTGGTAACATCTCCCTTTTCCTGCAAGAGTATGGATTTTATTTTATTTAATGCTTTGTTTTACTACTTAGAATTAATACAAGTTTTTTTTTTAAAAAGGTGTGTTAACCTTTATTTTTTTTGTTATATCTATCTCAACTTGATTTGAGCCAAGTAAAATAAAAGTGCTTCCTTGCACAGCCTGTAGATGTAAAGGGACTTGGGGAAGACTCACTGACGTGCCTTTTTGTGTAAAGCCATGCACAAAGGAGTGCTCAGTGCATATCGCCACCAGGTGGCGGCCTTGTGCTCCAAATGAGCATGAGTGGTCCAGACCCGAGCTTGGCGAGCCGTAAATGTTTCTTCCAAGCGTTCTTTGTGGGAGAGAACTTGAGACCTCAGTTGTAGTTGGTGACAGTTGAGAGGAAACAGTACTGGCCCTAAAATTGTACTCTCCTATCTTGTGGGTCATCTGCTCTTCAGTTTCCCAGGGTATCCCAACTGTCTGCATGCCTCCCCTCCCTTATAAAAACAGAAAGCATCCCCCAGGATTTGTTTATACTTGCCACCCAGGGATACTTACATTCTAGGTTTTATCAAAAAAAAAAGGAAAGTCCTTGAAAGCTGGTTTGTAAGCTACAGAGTGCTGAAAATAAATGCAAGTTTAATTTAGTGGTCTGGACGGCTTTATCTTTGGTCCAAGGAAGTTCATGATTAGTAAGCCGGCGGGAGGTGGAGTACAGAAGGGGGTGAGTTAGAGTCTGGCTGACCTCCCCTTGTTTTGAATCTCATCACTTCTGTTGTCCTGTCTCTTCTCTTCACAGCCTACATCTAAGTCATCAGCAAGCACTGTGTGCCCCATTCTCCTCATGGGCAAAGAGTAGTGTATTCACAATTGAGAACTGGGTGGTCCAGAGTTTATGCTCTACAGGCAATTTTGTCATTGCCCACCAGTTAGAAAAGAAAGCAAAATGTGACGAAGAAGGTGGAATGTTGAAAATAACTAGTTGTTTTCCTAGAAACATTTAGATTTTTGAAATTTCCTTGTCTTTTAATTATAAAATAATATATCAGATTAAAAACCCATCTAATGCAGAATATAATAAAAAAGAAAAAAAGAGCTGTCTTTGCTGCCTCTCCTGCTGTGGCACTCCCGTTTCCCAGAGATAATACCTCTAACAGAACATTTCTGTGCCTGCATCTCACTTATATGCATGAATGAAGGGCTTGATCTTTATATAATGTAGATAATCTATAGCTAGATTTATTGACCATGTGCAGCATCTGTTCGTGAGTCATATCACAAAATATTTGGCTATCAGAGCTGAGAGGTCTTTCCAAAGTGTTTTTTAAAAATATTTTACAATAAATGAATACAACACAATGGTTAAAGCTCACACTTTGGGATCAGATGGCCTGTGTTTAAATCTTGGCTTTTCTGTTTCTTTGCTATGTGATTTTGAGCAAGTTAACATCTCTGTGACTCTGTTTTCTCATCATAAAATGGATATAATAACCCTGACCCATACAGTTGCTCAGCAGATTAAATGATTTTATGTGTAAAACACCCAGACCAGAAGTAAACAGAGTAAATGCTCTATTTCCTATTATATTATTTCTACCTATGTGTATAAGGAATTTAATCTAAGAGAAATTCCTTTGTCTTTACAAAGATAAATTCCTTTGTCTTTACAGGGCAATACTTACACTTATTTCATAGGGATTTTGTTAGAATTAAATGAGATAAATACACTGAAAGAGCTTAGTATGTGCCTAGTACTTAACCATGAATGGTTTTAATTGACCAGATTTGGCTGTGTCTATAGTATGCTGCCAACCCTGCCCTCACCACGTTATGTGATCCCGTAGAGACTGGCCAACTGAAAAACAGGGTGGAGGTTCAGTTTGGTGCAGCTTAGATGCCAAGGCAGGTGGGGAGGGGAGGGGAGAGGAGGCCCATCAGTGTCTGGGCACCTGTTGCTGGGGTCCCTTTCCCCACCTTCCTGGCAGCCTTCTTAGTGAACGTGCAGCTGGCAGCCACTCAGGGCACTGGAGAGAAAGAATCAGTGGGATGTGGTTCCTGCCCATGTGTGTGCGTGGGGCAGGGGGCAAGGTGACTATGCAGAGAGGCTGGCCCAGGTGGATGCTGACCCCTTACCAGAAGCAGAGGAGTTGGAGGAGGAAGTCATGGGGGGAAGATGAGGAGACCGTTGCAGTTTTGTGGCCTGTGAAATGCAGTATAACAAATCCTCAAGACATGGCGCAGACAGTGTGAGGTGTGCCTTAAGTTCAGGAGGGGTCAGAGGTAGGAGCAAGGACTTGATGCATTTGCACAGGGGTGGGGGTGGAGACCACAGAAATGTTGGGGATTTCTGTGGGAAGAAGAATGTTGGTGCCCGGGGTCATTAACTGGTGTGAGACCCTGACCAGCCCTCTAGCCACGCTGGGCGCTTGCTCAATGGGTCAGTCTAGTTCGGGTAGGGCAGAGACACCTGTCCCTCACTTTGCAAGCCTGGCAGCTCTGTTGAGACAGGCACCATGCAGAAGGAGGACTATGTCTTAGTAGTCATAGAAGACCCTGTCTTACCCATGGACCTAATACATATTGGTTACAGGAACAGCTTCTTGAAAAGGGCCTGGAAAAATGCTTTGTGAGGTGAAATGCTATAGAAATTTAAGGCAAAAGGGATATTATTATTAAGAAAGGATTGGTTAAATTCATGGGCCATAGACCATTAATAAGGGAACTGAGGCAAGTTTGAGGTCTCTCCACAATGTTTCAGAACGTCTTTTCACTTAGAACAGGGGGAAAATCATGTAGGATTTTTTTTTTTGCAGTCACCTGGTGTTTTACTAATGGCACTAATGGTTCTGCTGTGTTTATCATTAGAGTGGTATTTATAAGGGGCGTGGTCTTTTCCTTTTCTGAGCCTAAAATGCATGCATTGAACTGGACGGAGATTTGAAATTCCGTTCCCAGAGCGACCTCGTCAGGGGAAATCCTACTACAGCCCCAACTCCAGCAGAACTTCTAGACTCCAGTCTCACGTATTTCTTGTCTTGTTTCCCATCCAGATTTGGAACATGGCTTCAAACAAACTGACATTCTTGAACTCCTATAAAATGAAGATGTCGGTCATCCTGGGAATCGTCCAGATGGTTTTTGGCGTCATTCTCAGCCTTTTCAATCACATGTAAGTTTCATGATTCACTTTCTGCCCGTGGGTCCGACCACATCAACAATGGGCAGGACAGCTACCGGTTTGGTCCTATGTCCCTCTGTGCAAGATTTCCCTCCTGGGGGGAGTGCTCTCCCGGATCATGTGGCTTGAGCCAGGACAAGCCGGTGTGCCAGAAATGGCACCTTTATTTCTCCTGAGCTGAGTCACTCAAAGTGAGTGTACTTTTCACAACAGAAGTATTTGAAGGTTCAGAAAAACAAGGAACCCTGTGTCCCCCCAAGCCTGAGAGGCCTCTGTTGGTGGCCTATCCAGGCTTAGCTCCCACCAGCAGGCAAATGGGGTGTAAGTGCATTTTGGCCAAAGTGCCCTCAGATTCTAATTCCATTTGGGGTACCTTCTTCCCACTGGCAGCTGCCTCTCTCTCACTTGGGCCGTTAATGTTGTCCTATCTATTCCTTTCCTTCTATCAAGACCCATCTGTGGAAAGTTCTCCAACTTACTTATGCTGAAGGTCTAACTGTTTGAGACAGCTTTAAATGTGCCTGCTCAGAGGTACCTTGTGTGGATATGGCAGCTTGTCCCCACAGTGCGTTGTGTTGCCAGAACCCCACCTGGCGTGTAGTTTAGGAGCATGTGAGGGCAGCATGGTGCCACAGAAACAGTATAAGGTTTGGAATCAGAAGTTTAACAACTCTTACTAGCTATGTGACCATAGGCCTGTTGTTTAATGTCACTGAGATTGTTTTCTTCTATGGAATGGGAATAGGGTAGTCAGAATGGGTTAGGTTATTGTGTAGTAACAAACAAGCCCTACATTTCAGTGGCTTAGGACCACGACACATGTGTACTATGGGCCCACTTGGAACTCTGTTCCTGCCATTCTCACACTGGGTGGCACCTGGGTGGATGGGCAGCCACCATCTGGAGCACTGCCAGTTGCTATGGCAGAAGGAGATGGTCAATTTCTCATCGACTCTTAAGCTTCCTTGGAATGCATGCCCCTTCTGTTCCCATTTCACTGACAGAGCCAGTCACATGGTGACCTCTGACCTGAAAGCCCATAGAAATGTAATTCTGCTTGAAAAACGCATATATTTAATGAATTGAGTAATGCCAAGCCCCTCGGTCCTACTGCCTGCAGGTGCCGTGAGAAGTCAGTGGGAGGCGATCCCCAAAGTGCCCCCTGGACTGGACCCTGACTATGTCGCTGCGTGTCAGGCCAGCCTCAGCTCCCCCCAGGGAGCCTGCTTTACTGTGGATCTCCCTTTACCCTCAGGTCACTCCTGTGCTTAACAAAGGGAGTGGGGGGCCCTTTCTGGCTTTTCAACTTGGGGACCCCTGACTTGGCCTTGTGGGGCCCTCCCTGTGCCCGAGAGCAGGACTTGGCAAACTTTGTGAAGAGCCACATAGTAAATATTTCAGGCTTTGCAGGCCAGAAGTCTCTGCCACAGCTACTCAGTTCCATGGACAATACATAAACAGATGGGTGTGTATGTTCCAATAAAACTTCACGAACACTGAAATTTGAATTTCATGTAATATTCATGTGTCATAAAATATTATCCTTTTGACTTTTTTTCACCAACCATTTAAAAATGTAAAAACTATTTTAAACCTGCAGGCTGCACAGAAATAGGTGATAGGCTCAATTTTGCCCAACGGCCATAGTTTACTGACCCCTGTCTAAGGACATTTTTAGGAGAAAAGCTTCCAAGCCGCCCTTAAATATCTTTGTGCCTTTGATCTGCATGAAACAGTGGCCAAATCACCAACTCTCCTTGTGGCCATGACCCTTGCTTCAGACTTTTCCTTCTCAACCCTGGTTTTCTCTGAATCTTTTGTGCAAAATGCTTTCCTTTCTCTTTTCCATCCACACATGATTGCCGCTTGCCAGAAGAGCAGATGCAGTTCAAAGATGTTCAAAATGTTCAAAAAAGGAACATTTTGTGTCTTGGGGAAAATAAGTAGCCACTGAATATTTCCTCAGTGTTCTGTCTTGTATATGTGTGTGTTTCCCGCCCCCAGATACTTCAGAAAAACTCTCAACATCGTTCTGCAGTTTATCCCTGAGATGATTTTTATCCTGTGTCTGTTTGGATACTTGGTTTTCATGATCATTTTCAAATGGTGCCACTTCGATGTCCGCGTGTCCAAGTGCGCCCCGAGCATCCTCATTCACTTCATCAACATGTTTCTGTTTAACTATAGCGACCCTTCCAATGCACCCCTGTACGAACATCAGGTATTTATGGGTCTTTTTTTTCTTCTTTTATGTGCTAAAATTATGTCAAAACCCTCTTATACTCTTGAGTGTTGTAGAGACTAGTTATTTGCAAGACTGACTATCTTGGCACCAGTCAAGGGTGCTATCTCTACATTTCAGGGGCTTGCATTAGATGGCTGTACAGGTGCTGAGAACACTGCACTCAGTGCGTGGTGGGGCTCCAGCTGTTCCTCTCTGGGCCATACGTGAGCGGGGTTACTGCTGTAGGGTTGAAAACTGGGCTGTTGTTATCTGTGAAGAAAGAAAAAAATTCCTTCAAACTGATTGGCTGAAAACTATAAATGCTCTGAAGAGCACCTTAAAATCGAATAATCTTTTATTCTAAAAATAAGCTGTAACTAAAGTTTACAAGAAAGAAAATTGAAATAGAGTCAAGAAGAGGGGTCCCTCCGTTCACATGGGTAGTGGTTTTCCGGAGAACTTGGACCAAACTCGTGCTCTCCTGCAGGTTTCCATGGCTTGTTGGAAGTGCTTTTTTTCCTTTTACTCTCTTCTTCCACAGGCAGTACCTCCCAACTGGACTTCATTGCCATTTTGATTTCTTCCATCTCTAGTAGTTCAGCTTAGCAGTTCAGCCACATTATCAACTTAATATTTTATTTTTAAAAAGTGTGTCTCATAGGAGCTGCATGTAAAAATAACTGATGAGTAATTTTTGGTAACACAAATAGTTCTCCTCTGGCTCCCTGCAGCGATTAACCTAATAATATTCCTTGAAGGTAGATTTTTGCTAAAGGAGGGCCCGCTTGTGTAGGTTCTCATTCCTCTGGCTCAGGCTCTTGGGCTGGTTCCCCTATGCCAAGTGGCCCCTGGGGGCACATGTTGCCTGCCAGTGATCGATCATTCTGGGTGTCCCGGTCATGGCCATGCTCCTCCCGTGGCCACGCACGTCCTCATGAGTGTGATTATTAGTTGTGTTCTCCTCCCCTACAGGCACAGCAAATAAGAAGCAATGCCACGTGACAGGGCATTTTTATGAAAAAATGAGGAATAGTTTTAGATAATAACCAGAGAAGACATACACCTTTGAAAGCTCTTCTGCAGTGGCCCACCTTCCTATTGTAGCGTCTTTTTGTTACACATCTGTTGGTAAATGAAACCGCCCCACAAGACTGTGCCATTAAATGGATGCATTTGGAAGGTTCATTTACTCAGTGCTGGAGCCTAAAGGAAAGTTTACTTGGATTTGCCAAGCAAGTCTTCTATTTTAGGCAAAGGTCTCAGATTCACCAAGTATTTCATGTACTAACCCCTTTCATTCCTTCACGAAGACTAAAGTCCTTGGTCCTCAGTATGCACTGAGCATTGCACAGTACCTGGCTTCCAGTGTTTGTCCTTTTTTTAAACATTCTTTTTTTTTTTTTTAACCAAATGTGCATCACAGTGGTTCAAGATTCCTCCCTCCCCAAACCCTGTCTACTCCCCTCCCCCCTGGTGACCACCAGTCCCTTCTCAGTGTCTATGAATCTAATGCTGTTTTGTTCCTTCTGTTTTGCTTTGTTTTCATACTCCACAAACAAGTGAAATCATTTGGTACTTGTCTTTCTCTTTCTGGCTTATTTCACTGAGCATAATATCCTCTAGTTCCATGTTGTTGCAAATGGCAGGACTTCTTTTCTTTTAATGGCTGAATAGTGTTCCGTTGTGTATATGTACCACCTCTTCTTTATCCAATCATGTACTGATGGACACTTAGGCTGCTTCCATATCTTGGCTATTGCAAACAGTGCAGCAATAAACATAAGGGTACATTTATCTTTTTGAACTAGGAATCTTGTTTTCTTGGGGTAAATTCCTTGGAGTGGAATTACTGGGTCAAATGGTATTTCTATTTTTAGTTTTTTGGGGAACCTCCGTACTGCTTTCCATAGCAGTTGAACCAATTTACATTCCCACCAGCAGTGTAGGAGGGTTTTTTTTTTCTCTGCATCTGTTATTGCTTGTCTTTTGGATGTTGGCCATCCTAACTGGTATGAGGTGGTAATATTTGGCTTTAATTTGCAATTCCCTGATGATTAGCGATGTGGAGCATCTTTTCTTGTGCCTGTTGGTCATCTGAATTTCTTCTTTGGAGAAGTGTCTGTTCAGGTCCTCTGCCCAGTGTTTGATCTAGTTATTTGCTGTTTGAGTGTTGAGGTGTATGAGTTCTTTATGTATTTTGGATGATAACCCTATATCAGCTAAATCATTTATGAATATATTCTCCCATGCTGTAGGTTGCCTTTTTGTTCTGCTGATGTTGTCCTTTGCTGAAACCAAAGTTTTTTTGTTTGATATAGTTCCACTAGTTCATTTTTTATTTTGTTTCCCTTGCCTGAGGAGATGTGTCCAGGGAAAAGTTTTTCATGTTTATATTCAAGGGCTTCCAGTTTCTTTCCATTCGAAAACCTTAGTGGGAGTTGGCTGGTTTGCAGATTCATTATCTTGACACAGTTTGAAGTTTCCAGAACCTCATATTGGGGCCATGCAGCTGGAGGAGACGATGTACACTGACAAAGGGAGCCCCTTCCCAGCCCTGCTCTTAGTGCTGTCTTAGTGCATGTTTGAATATCAAAGGAGAGCAACAGATAAATATAAACCTCCTGTTGTTATGTCCATCATGGGGAGAAAAGCCTCGTGGGAAAATGGACAAACCGTGGTGGCCTGGTGAGCGCGGTGCACGCTCATGCGGCTCCTCTCCCTCCTTTGAGCTGTTAAGAGTGGAAGAGGGTAGAAGGTTGAGTAGATAGGATGTTCCTACTGTTATCAGGGTAAATCTTGTTTCAATAAGGTAATAAATCACTGAGAGCTTGGCCAGAATGGTTGAAGAAATGTGAAGGCTCAAGAAACACTTCCCCTTTTACTCCAAGCACCCAGTCACTTCCACAGCTTTCAGTAGATCTGGCCAAGCCCACGAGGCTTCCCGGTGCATTCGACAACAGCAGCTCAGGGTCGCCCCTCAAAGCTGCTCACTGGGGAGCGTATGATGAAAGAGGTGGGACGTGAGGATATGGAAGGAAACGTGTACCAGCATGATAAGCGGTACAACTCCCGGGCTCCGACAGAGACACAGAGATCTTAGGTGCCTCAGCCCACGTGGATCGTGAGAGACAGTGAAAGAGAGCTCAACAGGCACGTCCCAGACCCCGTGAGGGGACGCACCCACACTGAGTGCACGGGTCAGGCAGAGAGTGTGAGAAACTATTTGTCTGAAAGAGCAAGAGGGCTGAGAGAATGATCTGGTACTGGAAGCATAAAATTACCGATGGAGGTAATGTTTCTGAGTTGAGTGACCCGAGGACTTTTGGTCACTCTAGTGACCTGTGAAGTCATGGGTCCGGCCCTGCTGTGCCCAGGGCTGGCAGAGCCACCCACATGGAGCAGCATTAAAGGGACAAAGGACACCTTTGTGGTGTGCCTCATGAGCATTCCTCGTGCACATGGCTGGGCACGTATGGTGCGGGTGTGTGATAAGGGGCTGTTTAGGGAGTGAGGGATAGAGCGAGTTTCCAGTACCCACTGTACTGACACTGGGTACAACCAGACTGCCATTTCTCTCTCTGCAGTAACAGTATTCCGCGATGTGAAAGTGAATGCATTCACTGAAATGCCTTAGATCTCTCACAGTGCAGCTGAAACAATCCATATTTGTCATCTTTATCATAAAAAGTATGCTGTGTGATCACCTTAAAATCATAGGCTCTTACCCTCTTGGTTTTACAGCAAGAAGTCCAAAGTTTCTTTGTTATTATGGCTTTGATTTCTGTGCCATGGATGCTGCTGATTAAGCCATTCATTCTTAGAGCCAATCATCGCAAATCCCAGGTAAGAGCCACTCATATCAATTCACTTACTGTGGGTAGGAATATGGGCATCTTGGAAATAGAAGTCTGGGGTTTAGAGAGCATGTTGGGCTCACCGAGGCATGAACGACTGTGGTGAGGTGGGGAACCGGGTTGCCCGAGGTGGGTTTCTTTCTGTAGGGTTTGATTTTTCCTTGAAGCCTTCTTACTTCCAGCATAATGTTCTATTAGGGAGGGGCAAGCACATTTAAATCTTATGTCTTGCAAAGTTTGTTCAGAGAAAATATTTTACTATCATTTTAGTAAATGAATAATGAAAGTTGTTTTCATCAGGATTATTCATATTGAATAATGAAAGTTGTTTTCATCAGGATTCTAAAGTTGTGAGCTTTTACTATTTTATGTTACAGATTGTATGGAGATGCCCAGGCATTAACAAATTCACATTAAGTCTGTTTTTATTTCTTTGTGGTTTTTCCCTATTTGCTAAATACCAGTGTCAGCCCACCTCTTCGTCTTGTCTGAATTGCTCCTGAGCCTCAGATTTACTCAGCAAGCGAAAGAGTTTGCTGTCAGCCTAAATCAAATAGGATTTGGGAAGATTAACCTTCCAGGGGACATCGGAGTCTAGAAATGACACGCAAGCGCTATTGGAGATTATCAGGCTCTGCTTTCCTTCACAATAGTGCAGAAGATTAAGTGGAATGTGCTCAGATCATATAGGTTTTAAATGGTTGTAGATATCTTCGGATAAATCCTTTTTTTCTAAAAGCTCTGTTGGCTATATTGATCTGGCTGACCCCAGTCAGGGCATAGGAAGGATGAGACTGGAGTTCAGTAGACTGGCCCCTAGGTGGCGCCCTCTTCCTCTATCACCTACTTCTCCCACTATTTCCCGCCAGCCTTGTCTAGTTCCAAAGCCTGTCTGATAAATACAGGCATATGAATAGGAAGGCAAAGCTAAGAATCCTTCTTTACCCTTTGGTTACTTGGTAAGAGACCAAGGTGGTAAATGTCGGTTGAAGTGGAAGGTTGTCCTTGTCCAAACAGGGGACCAGGTATTTCACAGGAAGGTGGCAAATTCCTGTTTGCAGAAATAGATACAACTCTCTTTACTAGAAACTCAACCTGCCTGTAAGTCCAGGGCTAGCGGCTGTCTCACCTGATTCCCAGGCCTCTAAAACAATCGCTCGTCTTGCTCTGTGCCCTGCAAAAGCTGTTTAAATCGTTGCTGACCTCAAAGTGGTAGATTTCTCCCTTTTCCCCACAGACGACTTGTCCACCAGGGAAGGACGTGGAGAGGTCGTCGTTAGTCCGCCGTGGTGGATGACACCTCCTAGACTGACTGTGGGAAGCAGGAGCTCCCCAAGAGCCTTGTCTCCTTGGTCCTTGGGATGTGAGGTGGTCCCTTAGGCTGCTGCTGAGGGCCCTGCTGGTCCTTTCCACATCAGAAACGTTTCCACCATCTCCACCCAAGAGATGATTCTAAACTGGTGGTATTTGGCCCTCTCCCAGTTTTGCCTATGAAACCTTAAGGAGGCCCAGTGCACAGAGATTATAAACAGATTTGTTCTGATGGGCCTTAGGGGATATGAGCGGAGTTCCCATCTACTCAGCTCCTCTCTGACCCGCGGCCCTGCAGAATGTGGTTTGGATCCCCATCGGTAGAGGGCCACGTCTAGTGGTATGGCCTTGTGGCTTGGGCCGCACAGGGCCAGGGAGTGAGTACTCATCTCGCACCCCTGGGGCCTCTCGCCTTCTGCTTCCTCTTCTGACTTGCTGCCATGGACTCAGGTGTCTCTCATGCCCATATTTTGGGTCACAGTGAAGTAACTTTTATTTCTATATAAAGTCTTTACATTTATATGTGTACATTTTAGGGTATTGTTTACTGAAGTGTAACATACATACAGAAAAGGGCACAGATGATCAGGGCACAGATCATGAAGTATCACAGAGCAGACACATCTGTGTGACGGGCACTCAGATCAATACACAGAACACCCTCACCCTCACCCCTAGGGTGGCCGTTACCCTGACAACAAACACTAGTGGGTAGCTTAGCCTGTTCTTGAACTTCATGTAAATGGAACCACGCCGTATGCCCTCTTTTGGATCTGGCTTCCTTCATCCAGTGTTAGATATTGTGTGTGACTGTTCTATTGTATCCCTAGCATGAATTTGCCACAATTTACCCATTCATGACTGAGATGTTTGCACTCTTGATAATTATAGGTGGTGCTGCTTTAAATACCCCGGGCATGTGTTTGGCACGTGTGTTTTCAGAAGGTTGCTGACACCGTATTTAAAGTTGGTCTGCTATCCATTTTATTTCCCTGGGCACCAAGCTCAAACACTGTCAGCTGTTGAGTAAGCAGAGAAGATAGGCCCTGGGATTCAAAGTCCAATATTGTGCTTCTGCAAGATTATTCATGTTCATTTTAGCCAATTCTGGGTTAATAACCAGAGAAGGCTAGAGTTCAGGCATGAAAATGGAGAGACTATCTTTTATTTCTTTTTTGAAACTTTCTTCCTTAAGTTGGGGGGAAGAAATTAGGATTTCAGGAAGACAAAGTAATGTTAACATGTGCCACATCCCTCACCATGGGGCTGGAGCCATGGGGCTGGGAAGCAGGCTTAGGGAGAGCCCCTCTCCGTACCGGGCACCCTGGAGTTCCTGTCCACGTGGACTCAAGCCCACTTCCAGGCTCTGCCCAGGGCCAAGCACACAGCGGTACGGCTACCTCAAGACCCTGGCATGGCCGAGGTGCCGCTGCTTGTGGGGAATGTGGGTGGCCACGGAAACGGCAGTGGCAGGGTCCACGCCGTGGGATGAAAACAAGGAGGGAAGGGAGGGCGGCATGCCGTGGTGCAGGGCCAGCAATCCCCTGCTGCCGCGCCCCAGCGTGGGACTCTGGATTCGAACCTGGCCTTTCAGGTTCTTCTGAGGATTTATTTATTGAAATAGGAGGCTCGAACCTATTTTATTTAGGAGTTTATTGACTTGATTTATAACTTATAAATATTTAAACATATAGCATAAGGACTTCCTTTTTACCTTTGCTTGGGCCTTTCCAAGTATTAGGTGCAGACCTGCTAAAGAAAGAAAGTTAAGATACTTCAATGCCTAATTTGCAATACCCCACCTATGAAATCATTTTAGGAGAAACTTTGGATGGAGGTATGAAGTTTCACATTGACTTGAAAGACATATTCTATTCAGACTCAGGGATAAAACCAGGCCAGATTCACTGGGGACTATACCTAGATTTTTTTTTCCTTAGCTATTTTTATAAAGTGATGTTTTATTTTTAAAAAGTATATTTGTGTTGGAAAGCTCAGTCTTCATCTGTCCAGGCCGCTATAAAAAAATACCACAGATACTATCATGGTATAATATAATACTATAATACTAAGGTATGATGGAATACTGTCATCTTTGGGGATTAGGATTTCAACATATGAATTTCAGGGGAACACAAGCATTCAGACCATAGCAGTCATTAATCTCTCCTAAGTAATTTTGCCCATAGAAATCTGACTGTTCAGATCACAAGGCTGTGTCGAAGTACCACTGGCAATTTTATGACTCTATTTTTGACAGTGGGAAGACACTCTGGTACAAGCATGGGTTTACTGTGAAGATTGTGATTAATTTGGCACATCCCAGAACACCATGGAGAAAAGCACCTGCTCTGGCATCAGAATGCCTGGGTTTAACCAGCCCTACCAGCTGTGTGATCTTGGGCACATTTCTGGACCTTTCTGTGCTGTTAAAGTGGGGTGATAATTATGCATTTATAAAATATAAAAAGATTATTATGAAGACTAAATGAGATAATATAGAAAATCTAGAATGGTGTTTGGTATGTAGCTAGTATTTGACGAGAACCTTTATTTTATGTGGAATTGTTGTACAGATTCTAAGGGCGAATTTAGTGTCTCATTTCCTTGCTTTCTGACAGCTGCAGGCATCCACAATCCAAGAACACACCACCGAGGACATCGAAGGCGCCACCTCGAACCTGTCCACGAGCCCTGGTCAGAAGGCTCCTGCAGGAGCCCATGGGGCCCAGGACGACCCTGAGGAAGAGGTGCGTGGCCCTCACCACCCAGCGGAGGCCTCCCAGGTTCTGGAACAGGGCCTAGTCAGGCGCGATAGTCAAACAGTTAGCAGCCAGCAGGGCGTGGACCGCAGCCCTGAACGGACTTGGGAGGCAGAGCTGGGAGGGCTGGGAGGACCCTGCTGGCGGCAGCCCGGTAATGGCTCAGCTGTGGAAGCTGGGGAGGCCCCAGGAGTGGGGGGGGGCACCGGTGATGATCAGAACAACAGCTATGTACCAACCGATCTAGGAGTATTTTAATACTTTAGCCCAGGTGCTGCTGTTGTCTGTGAGTTTGAGGTGAATGTCAGCCTTCAGACCTAGTGACATAGGAGGTCCTAAATGTTAGTGAGGCCTCCGTAACTCAGAACCGTGCCCCTGGGAGTCAGCTACATTTATTTTGAGCTTTCCATGCAGTGTCCCTCCGACCATGAGAGCAGAGCCCAAACCTAGCCCTACCATTGGGGCAAAAAGTGGACTCTTTGTTCCCAGCTGTTCTTCCCCAGTGGCAGCCTGCACAGCCATCACTGCCCCTCTGTTCTCGGCCTCAACCCTGGCTCTGTGCTGGTTGACTTCTCTTTGTGACACCATCTGCCTCTCCTGTGAATTCAGGAATTGTTCCGTTCCCTCCTCCCTTGCTGCCCCTTTCAGACCAAGGACAGCCACTCCCCCCTTAGGAATGTACCACATTTTCTTAGACAAGGCAGCTGGCTGTTTTTATACCGTGATAGACGTCACCCACAGTCCCCAACTGGCTGGGGGTTTTAGCTGATCTAATCTAATTATGGAGTGGGGACAGGATTCCTTTGGGGCCTGAGGGATGCTGTAAGTAGCTACATTTGTAGTGTTAATTACTAATAAAGATACTCACTTGAACTAATGGAAGGTCAGTTAGAATTAATGAAAAATCTGGGTCATGGACAATTGTTTCCAACGTGATTTGAGGTATAGAAAGTAAGCTGTACTCGTGGTTACTGATATGTCTGAGTCTGTCAGACCTGCTGGAATCCAACCCATACATCTTGCTCATCAGATTCCAGCCTGTCCAGGGCAACCTCCTGCGTTTAATCTTTCATGCCCTCAGTATATACCCAGTCAGTGTTCACCATGAACTGGCTGCCCTGCTCTGGACAACCTCAGGCTCCACGGCTAGGCTCCCTCCCCAGGTCCGATCATGCATGGGTCTCCCATTGCAAGGCAAACACAGGCTTGACTCTGTTTCTACCTCAAAATCCTCTGCACCTCTCTCTTCACCAGGGATTAGTCAAATTCAAGGTTAAGGACACAGTTCTCTGGACTGCCAAGTCTGCCCAAGACCTTTGACACTAGCCACAAGTTTAGTGTCCCTCAGGACCACCCTCACTCCAAACCAGCCAGTTACATATCAGAATCCACTCAGACTCCTTCAGGTTTGATAATTTATAGAAAGACTTATAGAACTCAGGAAAGTGCCATACTTAAAATTATTGTTTTATTTTAGCAGAAGTATATAAATCAGACTTATAGAACTCAGAAAAGTGCCGTACTTAAAATTATAGTTTTATTTTAGCAGAAGTATATAAATCAGAACCAGCCAGAAAAAGAGGCATGTAGGCAGAATCTGACACTCAAGGGTTCCAAATGCCAAGCTTCTAGGTCCTCAGCACCGGCATGTGGCGATAGGTGCACAGTGTTGCCCACCCAGGAGGCTCATGTGAGCTTCAGTGTCCAAGGTTTTATGGGGTTTCATTATGTAGGCATGACTGAGCACCCTATTGGGTGCGGGGCCCTTCCCTCTGTTCCCCCAGCACTGCTTCGCTCTTGACTATTGCACATCCATAATGTTGTGCGGTGTCTGTTGGCATTTTCTCCCTACTAGACTGTGAGCCTCTCTGGGGCAGGGGTGGCCCCAGTCAGACCACTCCCGCCGTATCAGTGTGCATGGAGGAGACACTGAGCTACTGCTGTTCTGGGCCTGCATCCCCACCCCGCCCCCGCATACCTGGGTCAGTAAGCCAATCAACGAGTTGGGTTCTTTGCTAATAGGCTTTCCCTTCACTGGTCCATTTTGTTGCCAGATTAATCTTCCCCCAAATATTTATTTCTCCCCGCCACTTCCTATGCAGGTGCTTTCCATGGTTCCTCCCTGACTCCAGCGGCCCTTGGTTGGCCTCTCCTGAAACTGTCACTGTTGAATGCTTTCTTTTGCTCCTCACCACAAAAGCTTCCAGTTGCAGCCAAGTTGTTTCTCCCTCAAACTTGCCTGTGTGATGCTCCTTTGCCTTCACAGGACTCGTTTTCCTCACTTCCGTGTCCAGGCCCTCCCCGGCCCTCACGGGGCAGCACTGGTCTCACCTGGGACACCTGGCCTTACCAACCAGTGTCTCTCCTTCGACCTCTTCTCCAACTATTTCTGGAAAATGTCGCTGCACACACTCGCATCCTCCTTTGTGCTGCTAATTCTCTTTCTAAAGTATATTGATACTTACTTTCCCCTAGTTCAACTGGAAATGTCTTCCCAGAGCCCACGTCTCATTCATCTGTATATCCTTTGTCATACTTTTCATGTAAAAAAGTACTGAATGAGCAGTATAAAAACTTCTCTCTTTCAGTTCAACTTTGGAGACATCTTTGTGCATCAAGCCATCCACACGATTGAGTACTGCCTGGGCTGCATCTCCAACACAGCCTCCTACCTCCGCCTCTGGGCCCTCAGCCTGGCTCATGCACGTGAGTGAGCCCCCCACCCCAGCAGGGGCCCGGCCACGTCCCCCCTGGGAAACAGGCGCAGTGTGCTTGTAGGTAGAGGTGCCTCCTCTAGATCATTCCGGCGCGTCCTTCAGAAGAATGGCCCTTCTTTCTTAGGAAAAGTGACTTTTTCAGTGTGTCTGGCTTTCCATAGCTGGAATGGCTTCCCTCTATATCAGTTTCCTGTTGCCTCTGAACAAATTGCCACACCTTAGCAGCTTAAAATACTGCAGGTTCACTATCTTATAGTTCTGCAGGCTGAAAATCCTAAAACCAGGGAGTCAGCGGGGCTGGTTCCTTCTGAAAGTTGGAGGGGAAATCCCTTTCCTTGCCTTTTCTAGTTTCTAGATGCCTCCTGGTGCTCCTTGGTGCCACAGTCTGCTTTCAGCATCGCACCTCCTTTCCTCTGACTGATGCCGCTGCCTGCCTTTCATAAGGACCCTTGTGGTTACACTGGGCTTAGCTGGATAACCCAGCATAACCTTATCTCAGCATTCTTAGTCCTATCTGCGAAGCCCCTCTTGCCGTATAACGTAACATTTCCACAGGCTAGGATTCCATGACTGTCTTCAGAGGGATCACTTTGAGAGAAGGTCCGCCATGATTGTGAGCACTGGTAGGAGATGGGCCAGTTGGCACCTACTGAGCTGTCCTGCAGCAGGTGTTCACCACCTTGGTGAACTCACAGCTGTCCAGGCTCAGGCCAGCCCAGTAATCCAGTTTTGGTGACAGTTCAAGCCTCGGGGTTGACTTAAGTCTGGAATCCTGATTCCCCACTTGCTTTGTAAGGCCCTTCGGTCTCTGCCTGCTTCTCCATTCTAGTCTCTCTGTATCCCCTCAGCAGCTCCCAGCCCGTGTACCCACCCCTTCATGTGCAGGACCTGTATGAAGGCTCCCGAAGATGCCATGGTCTCTGGGCCCCTCCGTGTGTTTGCCCCACAGCTCCCTTGCCTGAACTGTTCCTCCTTTGTTCGACTCTCTCCCCGCCTGATATCTGATCTCCCCTCAGAACTCAGCCGCACAGTTCCTCCTCTGGGAACCTTCCCTGTCCCCCAGTCTAGAAGGTGCCCTTTCCCTGGGCTCTGGCAGCACCGCTATCCTAGCACCAGGTGTAATTCTGTTTTGATTAGCCTGTCTCCCTGTGAGGCTGTGAGCTCCTGGAAGGTGAGGACCCCGACGTTTACCCCGGCATTCCCAGCACTAAGCATAATTCCGGGCACAGAGAAGCCAGGCCACAGTGTGTGCTAAATGGATAGAAACCAAAGCCGCGAAAGTGAGTTTGATTATCGATTTACAGCAGAAACACAAGTGCATTAGTCTCCACTGCTCAAGGGTGTTCATTTCCTTGCATTAACTCCCACACATGTACTCTTCCACGTGTACACAGATGCTTAGTTGCATGCATCCCACCTGTAAGTATCTGCACACAGATGCCCATAGGCACCTGCGTATGATGTTCACTCATGGGAGCTGGTTGTCCAGGGACCCAAAGAGGATCTGTGGGCTTCGTGTCATCAGTGGTGTTGATGTCAGCTTTCAGCTCCAACTCAGCCATGGTGTGGAGGACTCGGGTCACAGAAGGGCTGAGTCTAGACAGGACAGGAGGAGTTTCAGCATTTTCAGCGTCTGGGCCAGAGTTTGACATGAGATGTCGGAGTCTCCTCTGGCTCTCTCATGTCCTTTGAGGACATAGTTTGACTCCAGAAAGCCCACGTGGCTCACAGCTGCCTGGCATGTTCCAGTGTTGGATCTTCCTGGAAGTTCCTGAGAGGTATTGCTCCTGCTGACACCTTCCACTCCATGCAGACTTGCCTGTAGAGGCAGTTTGGTGGAGTGAAAACAAACTTTAAATACTGATTTATGTTCCAGTTTCCATTCTGCCACTTTTAACTGAGTGGCTCAGGCAAGCAGCTGAACCACGGGCTGCTCTGCAGTCGTCTGCTGTCCATGTCAGTCAGGCTAGGCAGGAATATGTTGCGGCAACAGCCGGCCCCAGATTGCAGCAGCCTAAAGTAAGCGGCAGTCACACTTAATCACGTTTGTGTCCATCAGTGCCAGGCTGAGGCCCAGCCCGGGAGGCTTTGTTTTGACACATGCTTCAAAATCACCAAGATGA